GTGGGACGGGACATGTTGGGCTGCGAGACGCGCATCTTACCTTTCCAGCACCATCATGTTCCTTGCCTTTCTGTCCAAGGAGACATGTTGTAGAAAAAACTTTCTCGCGAGTTCAGCCAAACTCCTTGAACTCGTGAGAAAGTTTTTTTCTACAGTGTGTCTCCCTGGACAGAAAGGCGAGGAACATGATGGTGCTGGAAAGGTAAGACGTGCGTCTCGCAGTCCAATGCGGCCCATCCCAATAGCAACAGCAGCCTGGTTGCTTCCCTTCTCCACCATCTCTTTATTGAGAGGAGTGGCAGGTGGGGCGGGGGAGAAGCGAGATGCTTCTCGCCCGCCCCACCTGCCACCCCCAAATTGCACCCTAAAGGGGGCGGGTGGGGGTGGGTGGCTAAGCAAGGGGCAGGAGCCCTGTCATGCCCAGCAGGTGGAGTGGGGCATGTAGTTGGTGTGGGGGGGCTTTTTTGCAGGGATGGCTTATATTAGCACATGTCCTGAAAAGCTCAATTGGCCTTATTTTCAGGACATGTCTTATTTTTGGGGAAACACAATAGTAGGTTAAAAAATAGTAGGTTAAAAAGTAATAGTTTAAAAAACATGGTTTCAAAACTCCTAGATAGTGCTATATTGGAATCAGTGGTGGGTTCTGCCTGGTTCCGCCGAGCCGGTAGCAGTGACGATATGACGTCACCAAACCAGTTCTGGCCCCCTGCACCTCCTACCCATCCCTTGCATTATTCTTACCTTTTATTTGCTCCACCCCCAATCTATTGCTGCCTCCTGAGTCCCAGCTGATCGGCTAGAGGGAAAAAACTGTTTAAACTCTTGCCGTGGGGCTTCAAAGGGCCTCCCTACAGCTGATCAGTGTTAAAAGAGAACAAATGAGTAGACCGGTGCCTGCAAAAATACATGGGTAGATCAGTGCCTGCAAAAATACATGAGTAGATCAGTGCCTGCAGAAATACATGAGTAGATCAATGCCTGCAAAAATACATGGGTAGATCAGTGCCTGCAAAAATACATGAGTAGATCAGTGCCTGCAGAAATACATGAGTAAATCAGTGCCTGCAAAAATGCATGAATAGATCAGTGCCTGCAAAAAATAAATGGGTAGACCAGTGCCAGAAACTGAAATCCAGTTTCCCCAGGGAGCCAAAAACTGAAAATAAACACTAGAAACTGGCATAAAACATTGCAAATTATGGTTACAGGACCCCAGGATGCTACAAAGAGCCATAGAGGTGTGCCAATTGCCAAGAATTCAAAATGTAATCATGTGACCATGGGGTGGGGAGCGGCCACTGTAACTTCAAAAACAAGTTGTAATAGTTCTGGGGAGGACTATCATAACTTTGAACAATCATTAAGTAGTCCCTGGCTTTTCTTACATCCTTATTCTAAATGCTCTGAATGCAAGTGTGCAAAATTACTTTTCACTATCTTTTATTATTCATTCTTCAGATTTTCTTCCTCCAAAAGAGACTGGTATGTTGGAGTCTCTGATACTAGTTGAGTCTTGACATTACGGAAGGCTTTTAAAAAAAGATTGGACAGCCATTTGTCTGTAATAGCATCAGGTCCCTTGCTTGATCAATGGGTTGAACTAGAAGACCTTCAAGGTTCCCTGTAAGGTTCTTATGTTCTATGCTCTAAATCCTGGCCTTGTGGCCTTGTTTTACATTTTATTTTCAGGTCATCTAGCTTTACTTCTGTGTTACTGATCCTTCACTGAAATTACTCTAGCTGGGTGCTAAAATGAATTTCAGTTTCTAAAATAGATTTCAAGCAAAAGATAATTGGAACTGGGTAAAATTTCAAAAAGGTAAAAAATGTATATAGTTATGCAGTAATGTGCATATTGGTTTAAGTCATGTATACCTCTTGTACACACAATATTGAATATGACTCTGCAACATATAGAATGTTTTTTTTATTTTGACATGTACATTAAATTTCATAATTTTCTTGGGTGGGAGAAGCCTACAACAGAACATCACTGAACTACATAGGACAGGATTAGACAACTTTCAACTAAAAGCAAGTTCCTAACGTCTCTTCATATTTCAGTTATGCTGAAAAGTTGAGGCCCTGCCAGTCTGGAAATGTCATCACATTCCAGACATGCCTTCTTCTGACTCAAAAAAATTGAAAATGTTTCTCAACCAAAAAAATTTGCCCATCCCTGTACAGGAAGAATTCCACCCTCAGTAAATTATGATCACTGTAAATTATGATCACTGCAAGACCTGATTTGTAAATTTCCTGCTTCTTGACTTTCCCATTTATTTGTAGAAGGCTTCAAGCTGAATACTCTAGTGGGGATTATAAAAATTATAGATTGAAATATTAAGAGAATGCCAGGTTTGAAAATGAATAGCAATGGGTTTTGGTTATTTTTATAATGTGATATTATTATGCAATCTAGGATAGATGGGTGGGTGGATGGATGGATGGATAAATAGATATCAGAATATTCATATCAGACTCTTAGGAGTCTGAGTCAATATTTTTCAATCGTGTAGAAAATATCTATAATAATCTACGTATTTGGCCATAAAGGTTCCCTGTAAAGAGTCTTTCAATCCATAGAACTGTTCTCTCTTTCATACCACAACAGACACAAACAACTCAAAACAATTTCTAGAGGTAAAGATTTGGATGCAATTTGTAGAAAACATTCTCACTTTGTTCCCAAACTGTAAAGATAGCCTAATAAGTTGCTTTCTCACAATTTAGGCAGTACCTTGTTTGTGAGGTTGTATGAGATCACATCTGTATCAATAAAATTTGCATAATGGGAGGCTTCATATAAAAAAGAAATTCAGCTATTGATATTCCCAACTTTCCCTGCCAAAGTTTCATCAGAACAGAGGTCTTCATAGTATTCTACATTCATATTAAAATTTATTTGCCTTTAAGATAGGGATCAGCAGCCAGAGTTTTACAGACATCCACCAAGGTGTCTGCCACCCGATTTGAATGCCAGATAAATCCTGAAAGCAAAAATGTAATATAAACCTGGTGAGCTGCAAAACAGAATGCTAGTTTTCATCTCCTTTATTTCCACGGATGCTTCTATGGCCTACAGGAGCAGAATAGAGGATGGGTGATGACATCACAGTGCTTGATCTAGAAGCGAGATTCCTGCTGCCCTCTCTCCTCCCCGCCAAGATGGCAAAGGACCAATGTATAGGAGAAGACACTCTGAGCAAATATGGATAGACTTGGATCTCTGCTGTTAAACTTAATTCCTCTGAGACAACCTGTGTCCCGTTGGGTCATCCTTACAGAAATGTTTCCTTACCAAGATTCTCAGCATCTTCAACAAGGATGAAGATCCCAATGTTGATTCCTTCACTTGAAAAGCTGGGCTTATACTCAGAAATATCTCCTATTGAGGGAGCCTATATAGTATCAGTCAAATGACATCACAAGAAATAATTCATGACATGTTGCCTTTTGTTGTAATCTATTATCTAGCTGTGGATGGGTGCTAGGTGAGCACCCCCCTATATCTCAGAGCAACCGTGTAGCTTGAATATGAAGGGGTGTAAGCTAGAAAAGGAGATCCTATGTGGTCTCAGACAAAGTCTGTTCAATCAAAAAAGGAAAAAAAATGAATCATGAAAGATTCAGGGCAAATTGGGAATTGCTTTCTGCTGTATCCATCTATTTAAAAGTTCATTAATCTTCTTTTGACCTTTCAACAATATTTATTTTCTTACTATGTTTTAATGCAGTGTGCTTGCTTTCTATTTCATTCTACAAAACAAATAAAACTATTCACCCACCCATGTTTTTACAATGATCGTTGACTTTTGGTATTCTTTTATTTGAGGATCTCTACTTCCCATTTACACTTTTTAAAGGAACCATCTATGAAAAATATCCCAACTATAAGAGGAAAATGCAGAGAAAACCAGATCAAGTGTTGAAAATATTTTAATGTTTTACACAGTTATTGCCTTGAATTTCTCTGGATTCAGACTCTGACCTCAAAAAGGGAATAGAATAGAATAGACATAAGGAGCAAAAAGAGTTTTGCCTCAAATGTCTCTTGAAGCAGAATATTGCCTCCCCACACCCACCCCAAAGAACCAGTGGTGGGATGAATACTAATCAACAGTAGTATTGATTAGTATTCAACAATAACAAAATCACAGAGGCAGGAATTATTATTATTATTTTTAAAATGCTTGTAATGGACTAGATGGGGGACGCAGTGACTCAGTGGCTAAGACACTGAGCTTGTCGATCAGAAGGTTGGCAGTTCAGCGGTTCAAATCCCTAGCACCGCATAATGGACTGAGCTCCCATTACTTGTCCCAGCTTCTGCCAACCTAGCAGTTCAAAAGCACATAAAAAATGCAAGTAGAAAAATAGGGACCACCTTTGGTGGGAAAGTAACAGCGCTTGGTGTGCCTTTGGCGTTTAGTCATGCTGGCCACATGACCACGGAAACATCTTCGGATAGCATTGGCTCTTCGGCTTAGAAGCGGAGATGAGCACCGACCCTAGAACCGGAAATGATTAGCATGCATGTGCTGGGGAACCTTTAGCTTTTTTACTTCAATGGACTAGATATGTTTTACCAAATTTGTTTAACCTTTAAAAAGCATAGTGTCTTTCTAGCAGACTTCTTGCAGGAACACTTCTAAATTTCTCTAGAGTTTCCTGAATGAGCAGATGGCTATGTAATGTGGCATAATCACATGGTCACTCCAGAATGCACATTCACCTTTTCCATTGGATCTGATGAATATTTCTTCCGATACCTTTAATCAAAATTTAAAAACTTGAATATGAAAACTGAAGCATGAAGCAATGAAGCAAATTTTTGAAGATCATGACTTCCCTAAAGGGAAGTTCTTTCCATGTGTTTTTTTGTTTGTTTGCTTGCTGTTTTTTCCAGAGACAGTTTTCTATCCAACAAATATGCCTATGTCAAACTTTGAAGAGTGGTAAACACCTGTGGAGCAAACAAGAACGAGGCAAAGCCATTTTTATTTGCAAAATCAAGCCCAAAGAGGATTTTTATTATGATGAGCAATATAGAATGAGAATTGGCTAAGATGAGTCAGGCAAAGCTGGAAAGCGGTCACTGTGAAGAAAGTAGCCAAGCCGAGGCATACTTCTGCAAAAAGAAAGATTCTGTGGCGGTGCTGAAACTGCTTGGTCTTTAAGGAAGGAAGCCCATCCAATAGGTGAATGCACTTTTCAGGAGATTCAGAAGTTTCCAGAACGCACTTTGCTGGTAGTGACGCTACTGCCACCACTGCTGTAGCCGCTGCCACTGATGGCACCACCACCACCACTGCCGCTGCCACCACTACTGTAGTTGATTGTGCTGCTTCCTCCATAGGTTGCTGTTGTAAAGATAGAAAGCTGATGTAAATAAATAGTAGAAGGCCTCAGTCTCTTGCATACTGTAATGAAAGTTGCCCATGGCCATTCCCATTCAGTCTTTGGGGTGTTTCTCATTACCTAAACAGGGTGTTTCAGTTCAGAAAGAACAATTTCCTACTGACAGTTAATAGTCCAATAGTATAATCCTGTGTTTGTGTGTGTGTACCCTGAATTGTACCTATTCCTTTAACTAAGATGAATACCAACCAAGCTTAGCACTTTGTGCAAATGCAACTGCTAACTCTGCCTGATTTGGTTTACAATGTTGTATGGATAAAGTCATAGTAATCTATGGATCATTTTTACCATGTTACTTGTCTTCTAAGTACAAAAAACTACTTGGAATTAATGAGATGTAAGATTGCCAAAGAGTATACTCTAAATCTTGACACATTTTCATGACTTCAATGAGAGCCCTGAGTATTTCATAATACATCAGCAAGGAGGCAACACAATTTTACTCGACAAGGAGTTTTGCATTGTTGTGAACCCTTTATTCAAGAACCAAAGTTAATTAGAATAGGCTCCTGCAAAGAAGTTGCCAAATACTTGCAATGCAACTTCCAAGGAAAGTTTCACCCAGACTATAGTCAATGTGAAGCACTCCTTTGAATCTTTCTATCACCCAAATATTTCTGACTTTAACTAAAGTTTTTCTTACCATCTTTTGGAGACCAGCCTGGGAGTCTGTAAGGAAAAAAGAAGAAACGGGAGTTGTGATGGGATAGGACAAAGGCAGTCCTGGATTAGCCATTAAACAAAATAAGTATGAATTCATACTATGTAAAAATGCCAACAATGGCAGTCTTTCAGCTGTTTGCAAGCAAACTCTAAACTTTTTGAAAAAGAATCTATTGTCCAAGTTATGTAAATTTTATGTGAATAAGGTATAATTTACTGGTATTAAATTCTGGAAAAAATGTCTGCTTTCAATAGTCACTTGATCTTTTATAGTTTTATGTATGATTACACATTAAATTTTCAATTTTATTTGGATAAATAATTGTCCAGGAAAGGAATTCAAGGAGGCATTTTTCTCAAGTGTACTATTAGCTGCAGACCAAGAGTATTGTTTCCACAGTCAACCAAGTTGAGCAATTGAAAACCTCACTAAATTCAAGAAATCGTTTTACATTACTAAGTTGTTTTAATTGTGACTCAATTACATACTTTGAGTCTTGACCCTCCAACAGGTTTCGGTAAGTGGCAATCTCCTGTTCCAGCCGTGTTTTGATATCCATTAGCATCCTGTATTCATGATTCTGACGTTCCATGTCATTTCTTAACTCAGCCAGCTGTTCTTCTACATTTGTGATCAGGTTCTGGATTTGTGCTAGCTGAGCACAATACCGTCCTTCTGTCTCTGCTAAACTGGTTTCCAAGCCAGCTTTCTAATAAGGAAGAAAAATAAAAAGATCTAGCAATCTGAACAATAACCAACATTAAGTTGCAGAATCTGATCTCCATCATAAAGCAGCTGGATTCCAGTTCTAAGAACTTGAATAATACTTATTGGTACTAGTAGGGTTATGAAATGGGGATGGATAGTACTACTGTATCTTGCAATGTTGCAATTATTTCCATCTAACCTGGAATGCTTAAAAGGCTAGGTTTTTTTTAAAAAAATGGACAGATATCTTTACCCATTGAAGGATGATAAATCTTGCAATTTCATTTCCCTCAATTTTTCTAAACCTACTAAATTTCTTTCAATTTCCTGTTTTTCCATTAGGATCATCTCATTTCAATACTCAGTTGAGATGTTTGCTTTTAAAATTCATAATAAAATGTGTATGCATTTTTAGCATATTTATCCTAACATTATTTGTTACATTATTTCAGAAATACAAATATTTTTTTAAATTTATATATGTGTGTGTGTGTAGGTGTGTATACCCACACACACCCCATTTTAAATTTTGCATTGTAAAATTCAGAGAATTGTGAATTTCAATGGATAGCTGAATTTTTTTTAAACTTCTTGTTTGGAAATGAAAAACTAAAAGCTACAAAATTACTTCTTAATCTGATTTATTCTCATTTAAAATTTGAGCAAAGCAACATACCATGCTAAGCTGTGATTGCAGTTCAATCTCCAAACTCTGTATTGTACGTCTTAGTTCTGAAATCTCAGTCTTACTTGTCTGTAGTTGTTCAGTGTGGGTAGCAACTTCACGATTCAGTTCTTCGGTCTGGGTGCAGGAAGAATTAAAATCAAATCAAATATGCTGAGTAATGTTGCAAGGCTTTGACTAGTAAATGTCTAATTAATTCCTAGTAGATCAAATATACATAATTAGGAACATTCACAGACTTACAGTACAATCTGAAACATGTTTGTACAGGGATATAGAAATATTTTTCATTCCTTAAATGTTACATTGAAGCTGTAACCCAAAACATATCTGGAATACTATATAGAAGAGGATAACCTGAATTTCCCCATTACTTATACTTTTTAATTTTTTTTTACAGGAAAAAAGGAGAGGGAAGAATGTTCTGTATTTTTTTATAAGTAGCATGAAGAACCTTTTGAATGAAAATCCCAGGATGTTGTGAAAAGACAAACAATTTCTGGAAAGGCAGTGTACCTTAGTAAAGAACCAGGCCTCAGCATCTTTGCGGTTCCTCTCAGCCATTTGTTCATATTGTTCTCTCATGTCAGCCAAAATTTTGGTGAGATCAACTCCAGGTGCAGCATCCATCTCAACACTGACCTTTCCAGTTAGCTGAGTACTGAATTCTTTCATTAACTTTGGGAGGCAAAAAAAAAAAAAAAAAGGCAGACAATTAGTTTTCTCTCTATATGGTACCGCTTTTCTGTTATCTGCAAGCAGTAGTTGTGTCCCTGAAGACTTTAATACTTAGAATAATCTTCTGATGAGCAACAGTAACAACACCATTGATTGTTGTTTTATACATTTTTGTTAGGCTTAAAAGGCAACTGGTATCTCTAGTAGCCATCAAGAGCTGGTTTCCTAGTTCCAGCTCTATAAAAAGAAAATAACAATATTCAAATTTCCTCCTCCTCAATCTTTCCCAGGGAAGAAAATTTGTTTTGGAGAGAAATGACAGGCAGGCTGTACATTTATGTGGACGCTGGCTTCCAACAGCCTCTTCCAGCAATCCACATAGATGCCATCTTACCATAAGATGGAACCTGGTACCATTTGGAAGAGGCACAACCTCTATTTGTATAAAGATGACTGATCTTTAGCTCAGTGCAATGTGTGGCCTCCTCTAGAGTGTCATCCCAGAATTCTTCCAAAATTGTTATCTTACTGACTGTGTTGAATCAATAATTTGAAAATACCAATCAGATTTCATTTCTGTTTTAGTTCCTATCCTATCCTATATTTTTGTCTTGGCCCCATCCAGCTTTTTTAAAATGCAGCCATCCACCATCTGCTGATCAACTTTTTAAATATAGAACTCATAAAACAATAGGAGTCTACCTATGAATGGTGATGGATAATTTTATACTGTCTTCTCAATGTGTCCGCCTTGGTCTTCTCCATTTTCCTTTCCCCATTACTCACCTCCTCATGGTTCTTCTTGAGATAGGCCAGATCTTCCTTCTTCTCTTCGATTTGCATTTCCATGTCAGATTTAAACAGAGTTAGTTCATCCAGGACTCTGCGCAGACCATTGATGTCACTCTCAACTCCCTGGCGGAGATGCAGCTCATTCTCATACCTGAGAACACACCAAGAAAAAGGTTAAAGGATTCCAAATAGGAACAAAACACCTTGTAACTAAATAGTCTTTCATAATTTTTGCTATCTCTATGTATTGAAACGTACACCTTTTCAAACATTTTTCCATTTTTTCTCCATGTCTTCATTAGAACGTTTTTTTTTTTTCCTTTAAGGAGTCATGTACCTACTTTACAAAATACGATATTATATTTGAGGGCCTACCCAGTGTGATTCAATTTTGAAGGTTGTGAAACTGCTGATCAGCAGTTGGAACTTGGATAGCATACTTAGCAGACATACAAATCACCTCACATTTGACCCATTAAGGTGAAATAGTTTCAACTACCATTTAAGTTATTAAATTTGCATCATACATATAACTCAGCATGTGCATGCTATATACCAATTAGCATTTCTATTTGTACTCTTCCCCCCCCTTATTTTTGACAGTGGATGAGAAGCTATCTTACTTTTGTTCTGTTTATCTTTTAAGCTCATCCAGAATCATTAATTGTTACATATTTTAGGTTTGAGGGCCAATGTTCTTTTCAAGAGCCTCTTCATGACATTCCCACCTTGCCATTTTTCTTGGCTGTTATTGCTGTGCTTTTTTCACACAACTGACAATGAGCAAGCCTTTTCTCTCTTTTTCTGCTTATCCATCATTGTTTGCTCAAGGCCACCAACCTGCTAGTATCTATTCCAGCATTGTATAGGGCTAACTAATAGAGACATAGACTTGTATATACAGTTTTAATGTGGAACTGGTTCACTTTTATCTGAAAAATTCCATTATCTTTTTCTTCCTTTCTTCAGCTCAGAAAGAGTCCTTGAGGAATAGAAAAACAAACAATGAAAAAACTCACTTCAGTCTGAAGTCATCAGCAGCCAGTCTAGCATTATCAATCTCCAAAATAGTCCTAGAATTATCAATTGTAGCATCATGAATCTACCAAAGAAGAGAGAAGACGGGGAAAAAATGAATATAGGAAGAATTTTTAGTCCTTGAAGATGCTTTGGCTTAGTCATTAAAACAAGTGGAGGGCAATTTGTATACACTTTCTCCTTTAATTGTCTAGTGTAGAAGGCCTCTAGATGGCTTTGGAGAAGATGGTCAGAAATTGTTAAGACAGCAGAAAGTGTTGAAGCATGTGTTAAAACATCATTCCATTATAAGACAGAAGGGAGATAAAACATCAGCAGACTTGCAAGATTCTGTTATTATAACTTATATCAATAAAGTATAGTTTTAGGCTTTTTATGCAGCAAGTTTCATGATCTGGACTATCTCTAAGGGCCGACATCTAGGATTTTTCCAAGAAATACTAGCCAGTCTTCATGGATAACTGAAAGTTTTAGGATGGTATAATCTGGTTTTGCAATGCATTATGGGATTGCCCAGGAATCATATTCAGTCAGCCAGTGGAAGCTATCTTTCCTTTGCCCCATCATCATTACTATATGAAGCCTTTCATAACAACTGTCTGCCAGCTTTTTCTTGACATACAGCTAAGAGGAGTTCTTTATACTGTACCAATATACTTACATAAGCAACAAGTCAATCCTAAATATTAAAATGAAATTAAAAAAATAGAAAAGCATGACTGGAATAATTTAGGTAGTGCTGAGGAACTGACTAGAATATTCCTCAGCATCACTTCCAGTCATCCAGATATACATATTGGATAGGATTCTGCTCTTGGTAAGAACTTAAGCAATCCTTTAGGTAACCTTGAAATGTATTATACTATGATTACCTGGCACTGTAGCTTAGTTAATATAAATATATTATCTAAACGTGTCCTTCCTGGCTGATAAAGTCATCTCTTATATATATTGTACATTGATTTTTTTTACATGTAGTTTATTACATATTTATGCTATACATCTATTATGGTCTTGGTCCTATAATTTTTTTTTCTTGGATCTAGAAGATAACAAGTATGGTTTCTACATTAAAATCTAATATGGATTTAATAGTGGGAACAGAATGAAATAACATTTTAAAGACAAATATTAATTTTGTGAGTTACATATCAACATTTCATGCTTCATCTACCCTACTATAACAGAGTGATATGAAAAAGATCAGAGATCTATATCCTTTAGATCAGTGCTTCTTAAACTTTAAGCTATCTGGATGTCAATTCCCAGAATTCTTCCCAAATTCTTAGCACTTTGATTCTAAGGAAGTCAGTAAAAATAGGAATATTCATGTTTGTTTCTAGTAGATTCATTATACCCAATATTGCCCAGTTCTCTCTTTTCTAAATGGAAAGAACATGTCATAGAAATAGTGATTGACGATGAACAATAACAGGTTTAGCTATTTCTTCACACAGCAAAGACCTGTATGGGGGCTAAATAACAAAAGTGCTGATTTTTTACATCAGGGAGGGTTGCATTGTGTTTAGTGGAATTTTGTCCTTAGGCAAAACAGAGAAGGCAAGAACCATAATTTCTTTGTCTTGAATGGTGCAAAAAGTAGCATCAATCATTAACATTTGGGAGAAATGGGATCCATTCTGGTGCAAATCTGAATTGCTACCAAACAACAAATAGAGATGATATAAATACAGTGCTCTAGTTTAATCATTGTCTTTTCTTAATATGTATTATTTTAACAGCCTGAGGAAATTACAGAAAAGCAATACAATATATGTGTATCTCTATGTGTGTATGTGTACACATGAGCACACACACAGAGACGTACAGAGAGGGAGGGAGGGAAAGAGACATACATATACATACATACAAAGATCTTTGTTTGATCTAATTTTTTAGAGTTATCATCCAGAATAAAAGAATAATGCACTTTAGAATAAGGGATAAAAGTATGGAGGAGGAGGAGGAAACTTTCAAAACTTGATCTGTTAACCTCAATGTAATTCCTTGTTCAGGATCCTACCTTGTCACGGAGATCCGAAATTATCTTGTAATAATGGCTGTAGTCCTTGGCTGGGCTAGAGGGTGCCTGCTTTTGATGCCAGTCTCGGATCTTGATCTCTAACTCAGTGTTAGCCTCCTCTAGGGCTCGCACCTTATCCAAGTAATTTGCCAAGCGGTCATTGAGATTTTGCATGGTGATCTTCTCATTTCCAGTCAGAAGGCCTCCATCACCACCACCACCACCACCAACCACAAAGTCAAGACCACCACCATAGCCTCCACCAACTCCACCACCATAGCCTCCACCAACTCCACAACCATAGCCTCCACCAACTCCACCACCATAGCCTCCACTACTACCAAAGTAATTTCCGTAGCCAAGACCACCTACAGAACCATATCCAATAGCACAACCACCTCCTAAGCCACTTCCATATCCATAACCGCCTCCATATCCTGAACCAGAAGATACAAACCTAGCTGAAGAGGCAGATACACGGCCACCAGCTCCCCCATGGATACTGGATGGCCCATGGCGGACAGAAGCAACACGGCCAGAACCACCGCCGCCACCACCACCATAAGAAGAAGAGGAGCTTTGATAATAGTGTGACATCGTGAAAGAAAGTTCAGATGCAAGACTGTTACTCGGCTTGGTCTAGCGTGAAGAAGCTAGCATCTGCAGTGTTGCCTGGCTCCATTTATAGTCCTCAGAGGGTGTGCTCTGTTGCATTACCCAATGCATAGTCTGCCAAGACACACCCTGATGGGAGCGGTTTAGTGGAATAATCTGCTTGCTTTGAAATATAACAGTTCCAACTCGGGTGGGCTTTTACAGCCAGCAAAATAAAAGATTTCATCCAGGAGAGCCTGGCTTATTTTTCTCTTGATGCTGGGGCACTTTCAGGGTGGTTTCATTTCTTTAAACATTTGAACAGAGTGGGGTAATAGAGGCTTCTCAACTCTTCTCTCCGTTAGCTAAAAAACCATGAGTAAATTATTGAAGTGCAGTGTTCAAAATAAAAAAGCAAGTTCCTTCATCAGAGGATCATATTTCACTCAGTTCTCTCTTTTCCAAGCACAATATTTAGAAATTCATTAATTGAACGTGTCCATCCTTGCCATTCCTTCCCGAAGGGTTCACTTATTGCTCTTTTTACTCAGAGCTGCCAGGCACAGCTCTCTAGGGATGTGCTGAGCAAAGAAGTTCCACTTCAAAGACTGAAAATGGTCAGGCCAACAGTCCATCGCTGACCATCCCACCGCATTGTTCCTTTCACTTCCTCTCTATCTTTTCTCCCCAAGGCACATGAGAATGATACATTGGAGTTGACATTAAAAGCATAGTGAATGCATGTGCAAAGCAGTCATATTTTAAAAATTAAAGGGAGTGCAGAGAATAAAATACAAGAATGTGGGATCCACTTAGATTTCTCATGCCTTTCAATTTTCTCTTCTACTTTCCCCTTGCTAATAATACATTAAATATTTCCTCCATGGATAAGAGAAAGAAGATCCTTGCCCAGATCCTAGACCCCTGATGGTGAACCTATGACACGCATGCTGGAAGTGGCACGCAGAGCCATTTTTCCAGACACATGAGCTGTCGCCCAACTCACTTGCAGCTGCACATGTGTGTGCACCCCAGTTAGTGTTCGGGCTTCTGGTGCACATGCGTGCAATTCAGGGGGCCCAGCTGGTCTTCAGAGCTCTCCTGCATGCGTGCATGTTTGCACATGAGTGCGAGAGTACTGGTGTGCAGCATGCGTATGCGCAGATGGCATTCATGCATGTGCATTGCATGTGCAAAACATGCGCATGTGCAGATTGTGCAATTGTGCATACGGAGCACAGTGGTGTGTGTGTGTGCAAAAGCTGTGCGCATGCACAGATGGTGTGATTGCGTGTGCAGCACATGGTGGGGAAGTGCGTGAAAGCTGTGCACATGTGCAGATGGTGTGGTTGTGTGCCTAGCGCATGGGGAGAAACTGCATGTTAATGCGGATGGCACATGCGCACGCGAAGCTCGCGAAGCATGTGGCTGTTCAGCACTGTCCTAGACTGAAATGAAAGAACTCATGGAATCTAGGGAAAAAAGATTTTTGCCAACATGGACTATTGGCACAGCTGAACAGTGGCTAACAGCCCCTCTCTACCAGCACTCTCTACACGTGCTCTACCTCTATATCATGTTCTCCACAAATGCTTTTAAGATTTCTCCTTGCTATTTTTCTCCCATCGCTGCACTTTTCTTATCTGCCTTTCATTTCATTTATAAGTCCCTCATTTAAGAACAAGGTGTCAAGGAAACTGCCCAGATTTGCTGTTGGTCTACATGGTAGATGACCCAGTTGTGTCACTAGGAGGATCTGTCATTCCTAAACCCTAAGGCCTAATCCCCTTTGTACCCCCACAAACAAGCACCCTGAAACCCTCATACACATACAAACACAGAGAGTAACACACCACAGGGAATTTGCTATATTTTCCAAGAGATTTTATCGTTAGATGAACTATATAAAAATGTAAAATGTGGAGCTGCTGTAAAAAGCATTGTGAAGTTTCTCTATAGATTTTATATCTTCGATGCAAAACAAGGAGGAAGTTTTGATATGTATGTAGGCATGCACAGAACATGCACTCCAGTATGTTAATGGGGATGCTCCTATTTGTATTGTATTTTGAAGTCTGGATGGCCTTTCTTGAAGGTCCTATGCCGTTGAACTTTCTTGCATTTTCCCACAAGGATAAACTAACATTACTCCTTAATCCAGGATTCATACTTTACAGCTATTCCCATATCCAAATTGAGAGGCTCAGGTAGATTCTATCAGCTCATCCTGATAGAAAGAATAAAGGGCCCGTGCAAAGCTGATCCTGAGAAAGCTTTGGGAGATCAATTCTTGCACTGATTGGAATAAAGTGTTCTTTGGATGTGTAAAAAAGTACACGGCTTCAATCCTAGGCAGACTGATCTAAAAATAATAGTGAATTAAATATGCAGATTACTCATCTGAATGTTTTCCTTTGAGAAATTTTCTTTAAACTTGACTTTGGGCATGTGCTGAATAATTTTCCTTCCTCTTTAAAAGATTTGTCAGGAACTTTGCAACTTTGTGATTGTGAATTATCTAAGTCTCCTTTACCCATTGCCCCATTTTAATTATTTATAAATTAAACTCTGATATTAATGTTAGTATTGGGCAGGGATTTTTTTTTTAATGTTTTCTCTTGTGGCAATAAATTATCTTGCTTATGGATGCACTTGCAATTGCACTTTGCATAGATAGAGAGTGACAAAATTTAGGGAGTTTTCCCCTTAATCAAGAGATGTATATGCTGGCCAAGCAATGTTTCTTAATAACAGGAGTGAAGATTGAATTGCACATATGTTCCTGGCAGCCAAAAGAAAAGATGGAAGTGCTGGGTCCTGAGACTGGAAACTTAAGCTCAGACCTTCTTTCTTTCTTAGGAATTGGTTTGGATCCAATAGCTTCTCTATGTGATGGGAAAAGTAATCCCTGCAGCCTCAGAAAGAAGTTACAGTATTGCATTGTCAAGTTGGAAAAAAACATGCTTCAAATGGAGATTGGCTTTTAGCCATGGAACATCAGCAGATGTGCCAGGGGAATGACTGATATTTGCAAGCATCTTGCCAGATCTATATATCACTACAGATTTGTAACTGGAAGAAGCAAGTTTAGACAAGCTGTGGATAATTATGAAAAAAATTCCAAGAGGTTTATTGGATGTGATTAATGGTTAATCCTAAACTCCATCTTATTGCTAGCCAGTTCTTCATTAATGGTAATTCTGTTGTTTGGCCTATTTTGAACCTAGCTAGGGATATTATGACTGAATTCACACAGTCATTTATTTACTGAAAAAAAATACAGTTGCTTGGATATGTCAACACACTGAGCCATAAACCATCATTTACAAACTACACTTTGTGTTTTCAAAATACACTAAGCAAAAATTGGATCTTGATGGCTTTTTACCCACCAAAAAGATTTTGCCAACTAAAGAGTATCACGTTATGTTTAATTTTTTTCTTTTTACATTTTTTTGTCTCTTGTTTCTCTTCTGCTCCACCAAATGGATTAGGGAAATCAATTGATGGTTAAGAATTACCTCTGTAAATTTATATATCCACATTATAATCATAAGGATACTGCCCCAACTGATAATATCTGCACCAGGCAACAAAATATTTCTCCATGAGATTTTAACATTAGTTGTGGCAAAAAAGAACAAGAGTCACAAAATCAAACAATTTATTAAAAAAAGTACTTGACAGGTGAACCAGTTTATGTATTAGTCTGATTATATAGAAACTGAGAAGAAGTATGAATTATGGTTAAATATGGTATTATATGACTAGATTGTGGGTCAATGAGATGGAAAAATTGCCTTTCATAAGGTGGTTATGGAAAATGCATAGATCAGTTCTAGGAGATAAGTAAAGAATCTTGAATCCCAGGAAGGAAATTCTGCCCTTTCCATACTTGTTTGTACTGTCACAATGAAGCACAAATTTTGAAATTATTATGCTTAAAAACTGAGGCTGAGTCCAACTTTCATAACTCAGTTCTGCAGATATGCAGGACTACAATTCTCATTTTTCAAGGCCATCATATCTAGCCAAGATTATATTTCCAGTTAGCAGGCATGACTAAAGAGAGTAGTTTATGATGTTTCTATCTAACAAAAAGTCAAAAGTGCATTCTCCATGATAGTTCTTCTTCTTTGAAGAAGGGGCATTCCTTCAGGAGACAGAATTTCCTTTGGTGCAATAATTCCAGAAATTAATTCCCTCCCTCCCTCCCTCCCTCCCTCTCTCTCTCTCTCTCTCTCTCTTTCTCTCTCTCTCTCTCTCTGTGTATTTATTTTTTTTATTAAATTTATATGCCACCCATCTCACCACGACGTGACTCTGGACAGCTTACAAACACATTCATATGTGTAAAGTTAAAGTATTATCCTGGAAAATTTACCATTTTGCAATACAATATTTTTTTCATGTCAATATTTAACTTCATCCCAAACTGATCATTAGTGCTACATCCAGAAGGCAATCTTCTATTGAAAGAATAGTCTTACCTGATGCAAAGTTCAAGCACCTTTAGAAGATGGAAAACCAGAAATACTGAAATTCCCATCAGATGTCAGCATTTGGGCAGCAGACCAAAGTATCTTGTATATGAAGTATAGCATTGCTTCCTGGGAATGCCTTAAAACATATCCATTAACAAATGTACATTTCAAACTAAAACCAGATTCTCTTTTGTCTTCCTCTTTGATTTCTTTTTTTTTAAAAAAACAACAGCAGCAATAATGAATGTTCCTAGCCCTGAAGGAACCAGAAAACACACTGTTGTTTTTGCTGCAGAAGATTAAACAGGCAACTCCATCAATGCCTTTTTGACATATATAGTAGCTGTCCACTTTGCATCACATTGATGTAAATGGATAAGTTACAATACAATTTAACTTTCTTCAAGAGATGACCTGTTGTTGAATCTCCACCTTTTTGAGAGCTGCATAGGGCATAAATAAAGCAACATGTTTTCTCAGTGGCAGTCTCTATTCTTTGGAACATTTTTCCACTGGAGGAACAGATAGCAAAGTCAGTTTAATCTTATTTCAGCAATACATGAAGTTAGTTTGAGGGATTCAAGCAGGAAATAAGATATAGAGGAATCTGTCTTCCAACAGAAAGGAATGGTTGATGGGATCATAAAGGCATGGGCTGCTTCTGGTTCTACTTAATAGTAGAACTGAGTTAAGCTGTAGTTTGTTGAAGAATAATTGAAGAATAATCATTCATTAGAAAATGATGAAAATTACCCTTGAACAAAAATTATTCTTGGTCTGTAATGTAATATACAGTATAGGTTGGGCAGGATATCAGAATTTAATATCTCTTTGCCTCTTTGTGTATTACAATATTGTCAGAATGACACAACTCATAACTTCAAGTTAGCCCCAATACATTGTTTTTAGATTTCACTGATTAATTTTATGTTCAGCTTCTCTATGTCTGACAGCTAATAGATTGTGACACCAGAAATTTAATCTATACCTAAATATCTTTTGCTTTGAATTTAATCAGTTCAGAATTACTCAGTCTCTTAATTATGACATCAGTGTCTCATACTGTTGTGTAACTTTTGTTGGGTGGTAACCATAATACAATTTGATTTGTTGATTGACTGGCTGGTTTGAAAAATGACTATTGTAAAATAATCCCCACCTCTATTTGAATGAATACTACTAATATTAATTTTAAGAAACTTCTTTCAGCATTCTATCAATGTTTCTAAGATCTTTGATCCTTGAAGCACCAGAATAATTCAAACCGTCTGCAGATTAAAATTGGAAACAATATATATTGTTCCACTCAAAATGTCCAATACTTATAGATCAGCCTTCCCAATCTGATGTTTCAAAATATGTTGAATGATACATTCTATTATTCCTGGAACTATGATTTTTCTTAATAAAAGTACTTCAAAAGGGAAAACTAGGTTATAAAATTATAATCACTCAAACTGATGACATTTGTAATCATAACTGGAAGTTACTACATCAGAAAAGGCAGATGAATTTTCCTCCCAGGCTTGAAAACAATGGCCAGTAAACTTTTAACTCATGGATATTTACTTCCAGTATCCCGTTTCCCCCTTTATCTATTCACTGGTTGGACTGGAGTCGCTAAGAATAATGTTGCTCCTAGGATGCTGATTCAGGATAGGAGAAGCAGTCCATGGCCTAATAGAGCAATTGCTTTCAACTGTGTAAGGAATTAAGCAAACTACTATTTTGGATTTATGTCTATGTCTTGCAGAGGAGAGGCAGGACTTCAAAGTTACTCACTAATAAATCTATGCAAATGATCCTGAATCTGGTCCAGGTTAGGAAGTACTTAGACAATGCTGTCTGTGAGTTACTTGAGACAAATAAAAAATCCATCATTTGTATAGGTCATCTTTCCTCACATGAGCCTTGGTGGCGCAGTGGTTAGAGTTCAGTACTGCAGGCTACTTCTGCTGACTGCTGGCTACCTGCAATTTGGCAGTTCAAATCTCACCAGGCTTAAGGTTGACTTAGCTTTCCATCCTTCTGAGGTGGGTAAAATGAGGATCCAGATTGTTGGGGGGCAATATGCTGATTCTGTAAACCGCTTAGAGTGGGCTGTAAAGCAGTATATAAGTCTAAGTGCTATTGCTATGTGTATTATTGATTCTTTTAGGAAGAAAGGATTAAAGCTTTATTATTATTATTTAAGATTTAATCTTCAATTTGATTCACAGTCAGGGTCTGGTAAAAACTTAACAGTTCAAGTCCTAATCAAGAACCTAAGAGCTGTTAAGGTAACCTCTGAGTATATAGGCAATTCCAAGTAAGGTGGTTTTTTGCAAAGTCTAATAAGTTCAAAATTTCCATGTATCAAGGCAATACCTTTGGGTATTGCTCCAAGGGCTCCTATTATTATTGGTACAAGCATTGATTTCTTCCTCCACAATCGCTCAACTTCAACTTGCAGATCATGGACTATTTCGTTATTTTTTCTAGTTGTTTCTCTTCAATTTGTGCATCATTTGGTATTGTAATATCAATGAACCAAACTTTTTTCTTTTCCACAATAGTGATGTCAGGAGTGTTGTGGCCCAGATGTTTGTCTGTTTGGATCCAAAAGTCCCACAGGATTTTGACTTGTTCATTTTCAAGAACTTTGACAATTTGATGTTCCCAATAATTTTTGCTACATTTGAACCCAAACTTCTGGCAAAACTTCCAATGTATAATTTTGACAACTCAATCATGATGTTGTAGATAATTAGTTTGTGAGATTTTGCTGCAGTCACTGATAAGGTGATCCACTGTTTCATCTTTCTCAGTGGCATTTGCTGTTGTTACTGACATGTTGAATTTTTCCTTTCATAGAATTGGTCTGCAGGGCTTGTTCTTGGGCAGCCAAAATGAAGCCTTCAGTTTCTTTCTTCAGTACCCCTGATCTCAACCATCTCCATGTTAGCTTTGTATCTACCTTTCCTTCAATGCCCTTCAAGTATCAACTGTGCATAGGCTTCTTTTTCCAGTTAGAAACTCAATGCTCAATTGTTTCCTTTCGATATTCTGCTTTCAATCTTGCTGTTTTCAAGAGGTTTCCTTGTTCACCTCCTTCAGCAGAGGCTCTTTTTCTTTTTGTATGTAGTCATTTAAGCTGTGTTTTTCCTCTTCCACAGTTTGTTTCACCTGTAAGAGTCCTTTGCCATCCTGAGATCTTGGCAAGTACAATTGATCAATATCACTTTTTGGGTGCAGAGCACAGTGCATTGTCATTAGTTTTCTTGTCTTTTGATCCAAGTTATCAAGTTCTAGCTGAGTCCATTCAATTATTCCAGCTGAGTATCATATTGTAGTATGAGTATCAGTAATGTAGTATGCATTTTTTTTTTTTTGCAAACTCAGAATATTCAGGTCTAATAAATTCAGGATTTCATGTATCTAGGCAACCCTTTGGGTTTTGCTCCAAGGGCTCCTATTACTACTATTGGTACAACCATTGATTTCTTCCTCCATAGTCTCTCAACTTCAATTTGCAAATCACGACATTTTATTATTATTTTTTTAGCTGTTTCTCTTCAATTTGTGCATCACCTGGTATCAATGAACCAGACTTTTTTCTTTTCCACAATAGTGACATTTGGATGTTTGGATTATGATCTTTGGGTGTTAAGTGAATGTCATTGTGTGGGTATACTGTATATATATATGTACAATGACTAAAGTTATTATTATTATTATATCAGGTATGTTGTGGGCCAGACGTCTGTCTGTTTTGATCCAAAAATTCCACAGGATCTTGACTTGCTCATTGTCAAGAACTTTGGCAATTTGCTGTTCTCCGTATTTTTTTCTGCATTCAAACCCAAACTTGTTGATTGAGTTTAGATAATCAGTCTGTGAGATTTTGTGCAACCACTGATAAGGTGATCCACTGTTTCATCTTTCTCATTGCATAAGCGACATTTGCTGTTGTTGCTGACATGTTGAATTTTTGCTTTTCTTCTTCTTCTTCTTCTTCTTCTTCTTCTTCTTCTTCTTCTTCTTCTTCTTCTTCTTCTTCTTCTTTTATTAGTAGTAGTAGTAATAGCAATATACATGTAATCAAATGAAACTTTTATATAGTTTTCTCCTATATATATATATATATATATATATATATATATATATATATATATATGAACGTTCCTCAAACATATGTATTTTTGTGAGAGAAAAATCTGGAGCTGAGTAGATACCACTATTTGCTCTGTAATAGATTTATTTTTAGGAATACTGTATGTGTTATTTCATTTGAAAATAAATCTGTGACAGATTTTTTTTACAGATTGCTCAGTACTGAAAAGGAAAGGAGCTAGAGTGTAAGATAAGAAAATCTAGAGCTAATTAAATGATGTTGAACTGTTCTCTCTTTTGCATGTGTAAGAAGTATTTCCAGTAAGCACTAATGAAGTTGCCACACTCTTCTTGACTTCTGTACTGGATGTTTAGTTTTCTTTTCAGGGTTTCTGTTGTTTGTTACTGTTCACTGTCTTGTTACATTTACAGTAGATGCAATCCCTGTCTCCATTCTCCCCAGATCTTTTTCTAACACCGTCTAGATTTTATTTCACATTGCATTGTGACATATTTCTGGTAAGTGGATGTGCTACAGCATGATTTCACTGTTGCTAGGTGATTGTCCAGGTTTTGCTAACATTGTTTTAAAATAATTTCATTTCCTAACTTTGATGAGCCATGTAAACAACATTCTCGGTTTTATTCATAATTTTGACATAGATCAACTTTTGATCTTGCCAAACTGGGCCTAAATTCTTCTTTTCATTGATGGAGTTTTATAAGGTTTGGAGAGGAGAGGAAAAGCAGGATTTGGCTTGCCCTGGCAGTCAGCCCTCAGATCATTTTTTAGTGCCAAATGATGAAATGATTAATCAAGGAAAAGCTCTCACGGTAGGGATGGGCAATTCTGTCAATTTTGCCTGATTTCTCATCTATCAATCTCAGGTCTTGTTGGTTATTCTGTTTAAGAGTTCAACAGGACAAAGTATAATATTACTCTTGTCCACATAGTCCTGCTCTTTTCTAAAAGTGCATTGACAAAGAATATGTGAGCACTTTTCTTAATTTGCACCCTTCTTGAAAGCAATGTTTGCACAAGAAAATGCATTTTGAACTATTCTGGATTCTAATATATGTGTCTCCTTTTTGGTATGTTGCCTGGGTATATACATTTGCAATATACAATACATGACATAGTGTTTTGGAAGTATGGATGGAGATCAGGGGCGGGTTCCAAATCCCGTTGCTACTGGTTCGCTTGTGCGCACAAGGTGTACTTCTGCACATGCACAGAAGTGTCCGGGCGGAGCCGCCACCACTACTGGTTCGCCCGATCCGGTGCGAACCGGTAGCAACCCACCACTGATGGAGATACACTCAGGCATCCAGGTTTCTTCTGGAAATATTAAAGACGTCTGAAACTATTATAGTCACATAACAATTCTGATAAATCCAATTTCATATTTATTTTCATTCACAGATTTTCAGCTTGGTTTACTTAATATTCAGATCAGAGTTTCATAGCTTTCGTAGAGAAGTTTTAGGGAAAGTCCACAGAGTGAGACTCTACTCTTTCTGAAGGATTTTGTCTTGGTTTATAATATTGATCTATGCACAATAATGAGAATATTTTCTTAGGTGTGTGCATTGTTGCATTGTTTTATGGCAGGGGTAACAATACTTTTATGTAGGCAGCCATATAAATTGAATGAACGAATGAACTTTAATGATGGAAACAATTAAATCTGGCTATCTGAAGTTTGATAACATTCACACACAAACCCTCCCCAAAATAACACAGTTAACACTGCAAAAGACCCCTTGGCCTTGGTTGAGACAATTATGAGAAGCAGTTTATACTAGGCATCTTTCTGGAACCAAACTTAAAGGAAAATATATTTCTGGGGACCTTTATAAAAGTCCATTTTGTCAAAATGTTCAAACAAGCATTTACTGTAGCTCAAATTCATACCAGTCCAGAAACCTCGCAATTTAATTATTGAGAAGCAGCTTTTATATCAATTAGTCAAAATCCCATGTTGAGTTTAATCTCTCTCTCTCCCTCCCTCTCCCTCTCTCTCTCTGTCCCTCCCTCCCTCCCTCCCTCTGTGTGTATTTGTGTGTCTATTGCCAACCCTAACTCCTCCCAAAAAACCCATAATTGTTCAAGAGAAAGCCTTTTCTCTGATTTTGCATTTCTCATCTGCTACAGTTTCACTGCTCCCAACCGCCAGTATCCATCAGCCACCTCTGAGCAGCTCATCCAATTATACCTTCTATTCTTAAAGTACGCTTCCCAATCGTTTTCACGCTTTTATCCATCCTTTTGTTTAATCATACTCACTGCATCTTTTGCAGTAATAAATAGGATAATGGGCTAGACCTAATGACCTTTCTCTGGGAGGATGAGAACATCATTCTCATTTTCTGCAGTCAAAGAAATTGTCGCAATAATAGCTCAACCTATGATACAATCATGATTCACCAGATCTTAAAAAAATATTTAAACAGTGGCTTGGATTATTCTGTTATAGGATAAAATTGGAATAAACACTCGTGATCGAACATACAAGATCATTCTTGCATGTGGATTTTAACATACATTAGTTTAGAGTACATGCAGGTATGTTGAACCGATTTTGAAAACAATTTGATATAAATCTGGATTTGTTTGCCCTGGAAAAAATATCTTCCAAAGAAATGGTTTCAGCAGAGAACTCAGAAGAATTTTTGTTTGTTGAATTGGTTCAACATTGCTGAGATGTTAAATCAGGATATTGATATTCTCGTTTTACTGAGCACAAGTTTATGCTAGGACCCACTTGATTGAAAGGATAAAAGCTGAATTTTTTTAGAATTCTTTGATTGCAGATTCTCCAGCAAGGGTAATAATGTAACTTAAAATACTCTTTTCAAAGATGAGGTTTAAGTCTTACATAGGCTTCCTGGTCTTTTCAAGCTGGCATCTCTGTTTGCCTTCATAGTTGGCATACTGATTTATATCCCTAACATTAGCACAAACTTATAAGTGCCTCTTCCAAAAGCTGTTTATTTCCATTCTTGTCAGTCTCATTTCATGTAGCTATTGCAGCACATTTCTGATCTAATTTAGTGTAATATATCATATTAATCTGCTTGCCTCATAGGGTAGTCAAAAGCTTCCTTTGATGATTCATTGCTTGCTACCAGGTGAAATCATTGCTTAGTAACTAGATTTCATGAATTCAACATGCTGCGATGTTAAATTGATGTGTACATCTTTTGCAGAACTCTGGTTGTTTTTGCTAACCTTTTAATGGTCTGCCTATTACTAAATATTCCTTTTACCTTTATAACAGTATCATACAGTTTGAACCTGTCCTTGAAAGCATATTAAGCCTTTAGTGGTTTTAGAATGTTCAAAGAATAGTTTCATGATGTAACAGCTTGTGGGGCATTTTAGGATGAGTTTCCACTCAGACATCAAAAAATGAAAGATTAGAAAAACATCTGATAGAATTTAGGTAATTTTTCCTAAACTAGAGTTTCTCCATACCTATTTAGACTGGGTGTAGATATACCTTAAATTTTTCACTGATGCTGGCAAATGCATTTTTTTTCTTAAGATTTTTTTACTGGTTAGAACAAATAATATATCAGTGTTCACATCACTCCATGTCATGTCCAGAAGCTGTTTGAGCTGGCAATTTACTTCATCAATACCAAGAATAGAACACAATCTTGCACTACTGCAGAGAAGCCCTCATTTTTTAAACATAAGAATAATCTCTAGCATTTGACGGTAAACATACTAATAATACTGTGCCTATATAGATATGGAAAGTATCCAGATCAAGCATTATGTAATGATCTCAGTAGATTGCAGAGGTCAATCCAGGCTCCAGGTATATCATAGTCTGTAACATCATGACTTGATCCTGCCATCAGCTATCCTTGGACCATGCTTGGCAGGTGTGGCAAGAAAGTATATTATACTCCCCTCTTGTGTGTTTGTAATGGTGTATATGGGGAATGACCTTGGGAGAGCTGCAAGACTAAACAACGAGCATATAAAAGATGTCTCAGCTTCTGGGAGAGGAGATGGTGTGGCATTCTTAAAAAGGGTCCTGTTGTGGCCGGTCCCTCCAGCAGCCAAATCAGAGGAGGAGGAGGCGTGGGAGTCAGCATCAAGGCAATCAGAGAGCTCCAAGGGGGAAAAGGGAGTGGAGCTGGCAGAGAGAGAGAGACAGAGGCAGAGTCTGGGCCACCTGTCAGCCCAGACTCTCAGATGGAGAGTCAACAGTCTCCAGGTCTAAAGGTGGCTGATGAGGAAGAGGAGGAATAGCTGTGTCCAGTGCCTGATGCGCGGATGTGTAGAAGGCAGAGGAGAGGAGAGCAGTGGAAATCCATAGGTCGGTCCTTGGGAAGGAAGAGCCACCACTGCTAGCGAAACCCCACCCTAGCTCTGGGGATAAAAGGCTGGGGGTAGAGATGAATAGATGTGGCAGACAGCTATTCATCTTCCCTGCCAGACAGACTTGTTAGCCTGAGGTGAAAGAGAAACTTTTTGCCAGGGCTGCTGTTGCTCCTAATAAAGGAATCATTGCTTCAACTACACAGGGTTTGTCATGTTTGGGGAGCTGGGTCAGAAAAGGACCTTTCATAGTTTTCTGAGAATAAAAGGAAGGGAGAAATACTTTTTGTCTTGCAAGATTCTGTTAATGTAATCTTACAGTAAAAGTAGAACTAATATTCCTGTTTCTGCTTGGACTACCTTGCAGGACTAATAGTGCCTACCCTCAATATGACGCTATAGAGCACTGCACACCAAGACAACTAGATACAAGAACAGTTTTTTCCCAAATGCCATCACTGTGCTAAACAAATAATTCCCTCAACACTGTCAAACTATTCACATTAGGCTGCATTACTATTGCTATTGGTCTTCTCATCATTCCTGTCGCCCATCTTCTCCCACTTGTGACTGCATGACTGTAACTTTGCTGCTTGTATCCTTGCAATTTATATTTATTTTGTTTCCTAGTATGATTTGATTGCTTATTGTACCATATGACTGTCACTGGGTGTTGTGCCTTGTCATTCTTGACGAGTGTATCTTGTCTTTTTATGTACACTGAGAGCATATGCACCAAAGACAAATTTCTTGTGTGTCCAATCACACTTGGCCAAGAAAAAATTCTATTCTATTCTATTCTATTCTATTCTATTCTATTCTATTCTATTCTGCCATTGAATTCCCTTTCTGATTCAGAAAGGTTCAGCTGATTCAGTAGCTGAACATCAAACATTGATTCCCCCCCTCCCAGAAATTGAACAGTCTGGTGTGCATTTATATGTACAGATTTGATGGGAATATAGTGTGTTTTCTACTCAAAATGCTTATCTCTAATAACATGGATCATGTTGGTCAGGATTGATGAGGATCATAATACAAAAACTGAATGAGATTGGGTTAGGAAAGCTGAGGTTTTCATGGTGCATGAAAAATCCATCCAGCTACTCTCTTCCTCCCCAACCCACTCCTCAGGCTGCATACAATCGAAGAGTTTTAAATCTGTGATATACCCATATGTTTCTAGTGGTGAAAATTTCAGCTGCTTTTTAAAGTGCCAATCAGTGCTTGCTGTATTTAAAAGCTAGGTTTATTGCTAGAAATAAGTCTCCATTTAGAATTTGCAAGACCCAAAAGAACTTTATTAGACAGAAACCCCCCCCCCACACACAAAAAAGCAGAAGCAGGAACAACTAAGTCAAATTGTTACATGCTCTCCAGCCACCAAGTATAAGTGCTTAAGGAACTACAGCTGTGTGAAACACCAAATTTCCATCTCTTAGTGATGGTAGCTACCCATTGAAATCTGTGTATTGAATATTTGTGCATAACGTAGAGGATAGTCTTCAAGGCTTGTTGCCAGTAACTGCTTTGTCTATAGCAAAACAAGGAAGAAATGAAGATTTATTAGACTCAAATTATATGTTAATAAAGCCATTGTACTTGAAGGAAAGAACATGGTTTACTGAGGAATGTCTCAGAAGCTTCTTCTGTTCTGTGGCATGTCCTGGAATGATCAGTGAACATGCAACATCTTGTGATACTTCCTAGCCTTTCTGTAAATAAATCTGCCTTTATGCCACTGTAATGAGGGGACTGCAAGATATCTCACACTTATCTCTGGTTCTGGCCAACTTGCATGGACTCTTAATGGAACTTGTGCTTTTACTGCATTTTATTATTTTATTGCATTTATGATTATTGCTTTCCAATACAAAAGACAGAAATGGCATTGGAACTGGCCCCAGATGGGAATATGATTTAATTTATCTTGTAAATGCCTAGTTTCTAGAATCGTGTTTTTTCAAACTTGGCAACTTTCAGATGTATCCCACTGCCAAAATTTCCCAGATACTGGATTGAAAATTCTGGGATTTTTTTTTTAAAATTTGATTTATATGCTGCCCTTCTCTGGAGACTCAGGGCGGCTTACAGTGTGTTAAGCAATAGCCTTCATACTTTTGTATATTTATACAAAGTCAGCTTATTGCCCCCACAAACTGGGTCCTCAATTTACCTACCTTAGAAAGGATGGAAGGCTGAGTCAACCTTGAGCCTGGTGAGATTTGAACTTACAGTAATTGCAGACAGCTGGTGTTAATCACAATGCTATCAGTCTGCTGAGCCACCAGGCTCAGCAGACTGAGTTTTAAAGTTTTAAAGTTGGCAAGTTTGAAAAATATCTTTCTAGAATCTAGATCATCTCTTTTGGCAGTCATTCCATTGAAAGTTAAAATGATAGTAGCAGTATAGGAAATGATAAGTGTCTTGTTAGACCACAACTCTCATTGTCCCTTGACATTAACCATCAGGCTTAAACTGACAGAAAGTGAAATCCAAAACATTTGGAGGGCAACAAATTGCCCATTTATACTGTGAGGCCATAGCCATAGCCTCTGTTTGAAAGATGAATATGATATTTTAGGCATTATCAAATATATCAGGCAGATATAGTTGACAATGAAAAAGAAGTGGATGATGGCAAGTAAGGAGTAAATGTGGAGTAGAAGTGAGTCAAGGGAGATGGAGATATTGACAAATAACAGCTACCAGTTAATTAGTCCAAGAAAACTCCCCCATAAATCTGTCACATTCTAGTGAAAATTCAGTCTCAAAGAATTTACAGTATCGGGATTTTAAAGAGCAAGAGATGACAAGCAGTATATTTTGTAACATAATCCATCACTCCTGATTTTCCTATCATGGAACTCAATATTGTCTGAAGGAGAATTCACAACTAACAGTCTTCTTCCTAGGCATATCTAAATTCGATTATTTTTAGCAAAAAGGTTGTCCATCATGTACCATCCAGCCCACATCTGGCAAACTATATTAAAAATTTATAATACCTTACCATACATTCCTGAGGCATTACCTGAAAAGCTGTAGAGAGAAAAAAGAAAAAGAAAGAATACTTAAATTCAAAATCACAACAGACAAATGAACAAACAATAACCCAGCTGACTGGGGCTGTTTTTCAAAACCAAGTTGAAGAGAATTTGTAATCTTTATCAATTTAAGTACTAAAGGCTTAAACAACTTAAAGCATTGTGCTTTTAAAAAATGAACAAATGAACAAATAAACCCTGTTCAGAATTAGCCTAAGTGACAGGAAGAAACACAAAGAAAGGACTGTTAGGAGAATCAGAAGTATTCTTCCCATACAATTAATCTTGCCCCACTCTCATCCCCATTGACTGCAACATGTAGGTTGAGCAATTTGACTAGAGTTAAACCACCATTCCATGCATCCTTCCAAAGCAATGATTCTCATGACTCGTTGGAGAATTCTGAGAGTTGAAGTCCACACAGCTTGCCCAAATTGAGAAAAATGTTATAAACTGACCCTATCCTGCTTCACAATTTAAATAGAATTAAGGAGAGTGCTTGATCATTGTTTTCCTATGATTGGTGATGTTTGATGGGCAGAGAAACAAAGTCAGGGTATCTACAAGTCCCTTTCTTTAATTTGCAAATAATAAGGAAAACACTATTTTCCAGCCTCATTATTTTGGCAAAATAGAGATCAGCAATTCATTTTGCCCAAGGCACAAGGCAGCCAACTATACAGATGTAAAACAGCATATATGATATATAGACAGATAGACATGATACAACAATTCTAAAATGAAGATGCTTAAAGATACCAATAGTAACATGTTTGTATTTAGAAGCAACTTACTTGAAGTCCTGGCCGTCCAGGAGCTGACGATAAGTCTCAATCTCTTGCTCCAGACGGCTTTTGATGTCCATCAACATCTTATAGTCGTTGTTCTGCCTCTCCATGTCACTGCGGACATCAACCAGCTGGGCTTCTAGGTTGCTGATCAGACTTTGGATTTGGCAGAGCTGGGCGCCATAGCGAGCTTCGGTGTCTCCTAAGGTGCCTTCCAGGGCAGATTTCTGAGAGGAAGAAGAAGGCATTGGTGAGAAGGAAAATCCAATGCTTTCTGGAAAAAAATCTGTGGCATCAGTTTGAAAGAAATGTCAAATACTGTTTTCAAAACTGGGGCAAGATAAGGTTAAGGAAGAGACATTAGGTGTACCGGGGTAATGGTTCTATTTGGTTAACTTGCACCGAGCAGCAGAAGTCCAACGGAGGACTGTTGAAACCGGACAGAGCATTTTTCAGAAGCATTGGTGAGATTGATTTGAACATTTAATTATTTACTAGCTATTTTATATCTCACAATTATTAGCTGTTTTTTCACTTGTTTGCTATGTCATTGATTCTATCTCCTGGACCCTGATGTAGGTAGGCTGCCTAACATTGATGGAAAAAAAAAAAACAGAAGAAGCTGCTTTATAAAGTGCACTTTTTCTTGTTCAATACTGCCAACACTTTCTGGATTCACACTTATTTTCAGCTTTAATGCAGTTTTTTAAAATTTATTGTGTAGCATATTGATATCAGCTCCTGTCATTTGAATATTATCTTTACAGTTTGGTGTGTTACAGATCCAACTGTTTTATACAATATGCGGTGCTTAAATAATAGCTTAATAGAGTGATGAATTAAATATTTGACCAGTAACTCCTCTTGGGATCTATTGGATATGACAAAAATTAAACCTCTGAATGTTTAGCTGATATCTCTTCGCACTCCATATGTGTGTATGTACAAATATACATACATATACATGCATTGCTCAAGGGATCAAATTAAGTTACTTATTTCAGGATTCAGACATTGGACTTCATTCACTCCCACTGATCCACGTACCATGCTAAGCTGGGATTGCAGCTCTATTTCCAAACCTTGGAGAGTCCTTCTCAAGTCAGTAATTTCAGTCTTGCTGGTCTGCAGCTGTTCAGTATTGATGGCAACCTCTTTGGTCAGTTCTTCAGTCTATATATTTTTAAAGGGAAGGTGACATTTACAAGTCAGATCATGATTTGGAGAACCATACTAGCCCGGTTGTCTCTTCCCGAATTGTTTTCTTGAAGGATTCCCCCTGTCCCATTTCATTCTCTCCCCATTTTCCTAGCTCACCTTGCTCGTAAACCATGCCTCCGCATCCCTTCGGTTCTTGTCAGCCAGCAGCTCATACTGGTCTCTCATGTCTGCCAGAATCTTGGTGAGGTCAATGCCTGGGGCAGAATCAACTTCCACACTCACTTGGCCACCTAGTTGGCCAGACAAAGCACTCATTTCCTTTAAAATGAGAGGGAAAAAAGTCAAAACATTAATTGAGGATCTATTTGCATAGCAGCACTAACTTTTTTTCCACATTTATAGTTTATAAGTGAACTAGGATTAATTCAGACATGATTTGAGGGTTTTTTTTTTTTTATTAAAAACATTCAAAGAATTCAGGGCCTCTGAAAAATTATTATTATTTTTTCTCACTGGACCTTTCCTGTCTTCAAAAGCTGCTTTACTCTCTCTCCACCCCTTTGTTTTGTTTTGTTTTTTTAAAAAATTATGACCAAAAGGAGGAAAAGACTGGAAAGCTTAACTTCTCACCATTTATAATACTATAGCCATTTATTAACAGCAATCCTAACAGTTAAATTAAGAAAGTACTCTAGTATTAGACTAGAATTCCCATCATCTCTAATTATCTCTTCTCAGCTTTGAAAGCTGAGCCTGACTGGAACTGGAGTGCTACAACATTTATAGGGCTGCAGATTCCTCACATCACATTTCCAAAGTGGTTGGAAAGCATGAATCTGATTGCTCTTTCAGAACTAATTTCGAAGAAATATATGAACATTTAATTGTACATGCAGTGCAGCCAAATTCATCCTGCAGAAGTGATTCTCTATCTCTTTAATAGGTGAGAAATTGAAGTTATCATCTCCTATAAGCCATTCTGTATATATAAACCTGCCAAATGATTTTATTTGAACAGTTGATTGAATCCTGTAGGGACCACTCAGTCGTTATACAAGATACAAGATGCTAGAAAGGTACAGCTGTGGTGGCGCAGTGGTTAGAATGCAGAATTGCAGGCTAACTGCCATCATTTCAGCAGCTCGAGTCTCACCGACTCAGCCTTCTATCCTTCTGAGATTGGTAAAATGAGGGGCAATATGCTGGCTCTGTAAATGCTTAGAAAGGGCTGTAAAGCACTGTGAAGCGGTATAAGTGTAAGTGCTATTGCTATTACTATTGACAGAGAAAGCTAAGACTTTCTGCTGACCTTAGATTTAGTGTAGCACGTTGTCTTATTGACAATGCTGAAGATTCAGCTCCTATTGCAGTTAACTTTTGGGTCTAGAACAGAGACTGTGTAGTGCTTTTTAGTGATATCTTAAGAAGACTGAGTGATATTCATAGAATTTAAGTTAGTTACATATAACTTCAACCCCGCTCTTTGGTTTTATCTTAATCATAACAAAATGAGTTTCCAGCCCAGGGAACACTTGGCTCTCTCTTTACCTCCTCATGGTTCTTCTTGAGATAAGCCAGTTCTTCTTTCAAGCTTTCAATTTGCAGCTCCAGGTCAGTTCTAGCCAAGGTCAGCTCATCCAACACTCGGCGTAAGCCATTGATATCAGCTTCCACACTCATGCGCAGGGCTTGCTCAGTCTCAAACCTGGTTAAAGAAAGAAGTACCTCACTTTTCTTAGGCATAGTTTAAAATGTCACGGATTCTGTTTAATGTTGTCAATCCATTTCCTAATATAGAGATGTTTACAATGTTAGGCTGTTTGTCAAGGAGGGTATAATGATATCTGGATACAGAAGACTGATATTTTGCTATTTATGTGACTACTTCTTTTGTAATAGGTAACAATGCTAAGTAAGAGATCACTAATGAATAGTTCTCTTTAGATTCCTTCTCCTATTCTCTTCCATAATTTGCAAATGGCAAATATACATTTCCCCCCATTTTCTGGTCCATGAAAGTAGATTCTGCGCAGCAGCATGGGGATTCATTGGAAACGTGTGTCAAACCCACCATAGCTATTTTATACCACAAATGTTGTAAATCCTTTGCATTGCTTATTCCTTTCCCTTTTAATAATAAACTGACTACAGGCCACACAGTTTATAGATTGTGATTTTAGTACAGTTACAATATGTATAATTGACAAGCTGGATTTTATCATAGATTTTATCTGTTATTTATTATTTTATTCTAGAATTTTTAATCATACATTTTTGAGGGTTTTTATTTGTTCTGGTCTCTGGCCAATGACTGTAATAAAATTCTATTGCTATTGGCCCATGAAAGATTTACTTACTTGGTTTTAAAGTCATCAGCAGCCAACCTGGCATTATCAATCTGCAGGATCATTTTGTTATTTTCAATTGTTGCAACCAGGATCTGCAAGACAAGAAATAACACACAATTGGAGTGAGTTGCTTTTTTTAAAAAAAAAAAAACTACTTTGGGCTACACACAGGCAGTTGATGGGGTGTGTAACTGTGTCTTGAGACTTCTTGGAGTAAACTGGCTTCTTCTCTAAATTGACTCACTAGACATCCTTGTTGTATTTTCAGTTGTTTACCTGAAACAACATTGGCTCCCAAAAGATTCAATTGACTATTGATGATATCAATGGGATTAAATTTCTTTAAATTCCTTTATTTCTAAGGACATATTTCATGACTAAATATGGCTCTTTTTGCCATAATATAGACATGGTATACAATTTACATTATCCATTAGACTAATATGAGCTATACTAGTTCTATAAATCACTACAGACTATGGACTATGGACTATGCAGATAACAAATTGGTTCACCTGAAAAATTCAGTGTACACTCTCATCAGAACATTGTAAGCTGTTGGCATAAAGATATGTTTATCACTCTTTCTTTGCAATGAGACTTTTACAAAAGCTACAATGTAAATTCAGCATAACAAACATTAAAGTAAATAAAAGGGATAAAAAGAGCTTCTACCTTGAAATTACTGGCTACATCTTAAAACCCATCTCATGTGGTTAATTTCAAGTAGCAGCAGGTATAGGATTAAGAAAATCATCCAGGCAAAGATGTAGTGCTCTATCAGATATGTGTGGTTTTTTTTTTTTTTAAATACATTTCTTGGCTTTCTAATCCCACCTTTTCCTCAAGAGTTCAAGGCAGTTTACGTTGGGTTCTCCATTTTATTGTTTTTGTTGAGACTGTGTGACTGACTCAAGGTCGCTGTGGTGGAATGTAGTCTGGATTCCAGGAAAGAGGAATTGCATTCCAGATGACAAAGAGGAGAGAGAAGCTTAGATAGTTTGATTAGGAGAAAGACAGTGAAGAAGGATCTTCCCTAGCAATTCTCAGAGTATATCTATAGTAATGGAAATAGTCGCTTTAATTTGGCAAGATTTCTGTCTATAAGTGGGGAACAATAAAGGAAAATGTTCAGAAATAATTCCACATGTCTTTCTTGGTTCTTGGGGCCCGACAGTCTGTGATCCTACTCCAGCACCTTAACTATTGTACCATAATCAATGTCCAACGTTCACATTTGAGATTCTGTCCAACTTTACCTATCACAAAGAAGTTTTGGCCTGACTCTGCAGTTAGCTCATGCTAACTTCCTTTGTGGCTGAGCTTCAACCTGTCCATTTCTTTAAAACTAACAGCTACCTTGGAAGTTGGTAATCATTAACTGCTAGGCTGTATTGATTTCTTTATAACAAGTGTTTGTTTTTCTTTTACTCTCTGTACTTTTAGGGTGTGTATGTGTTTCCTGTCCAAACAAATGGGAGGTTTAGTGATTCTGCTGTCACAAAATAAACTTTGATTGTATGTATAGAAAATTGTATGATTAAATACAAAAAAGGTTTACTTAATTATTGGTTTCTTGTCTTCTTTTTCCTCTTTCACAAATAGCAGAAACAAAGTCAAAGCTTTGTGGATTAATTGAATTGTTGAATGGAAGGTCTCTACTCAGATTCCAATTCAAGATATATAGGTGATGTTTAGGAATATTAAGACTATGAAGGAAGGCGCTTCAGAGATCTTTATCTCAAAAGGTTCCAAAGAAGAATGTTTGCACTCTGTCTTCAAGGATGGAGGCTTTATGCATCATTGCAGAACAGAAAAAAACTAATGCATAGCAAACAAACACATTGAGCAAATAGAGACACCCATTTAATAATAATTTGTATAATTTAAATAGACATAGGAGATAGCTTGCTGAAATGGCGAAGATGCAGTTCCTGCCAGGACATCCTAAAGGAGAGTCAACAAAAATTAAGAGGTCCTCATGTGATCAAAAGAATCATCTTGACTTTTTTGACTCTCCTCCTCTGGATATCCCTCCTTCCCATTGCCTAGATGATCACAGCTATTAGCCTCTTTTTTCTCTTCACAGATTTTCTTTTAACGTTTAAAGTGGACCTGTATGAGCAATATCCTTCAAATAAAGCATTGTCCTTGGACAATCTTTCAAACAGGATACTTTCTTAGCCCCTTCAAATACAATTATATCCTCTGTAAAACAAAACGTATGGCATTTCTATTTCCTGGAGACATCGAACTACAGCAAGTTAGCACTATGTATGGGGTTGAGTGGGGAGGAAGGATGGATTTTTTGGATGAAACTATTGGACAAGTTGCTATTGAGAGATTTCATATGCTTAAAATTTGGTGTAGCCTTGAACTGATAGAAGTGCACAATTTTGATATAAAGAATATGAGATGATCCATGGCTGGAGACAAATATAAGAAATAAACTAGGATGCACAGGCTCCGAACTGAAACACTTTTAAAATAGAGCTGATGAAATGAATGGGAATGATGTAAATTATGACTAATTTGACTCGGTGCAACCCAATGTACACAAGGTGACATGAAAATATCAACAGATTTGCTCAGGAATGCATTTCAGTCCATCTTCTCAGCATACAAGCATTACAGTATTTAAAGAGTATATAATGATGATTTTATCTGCAGCAATAGTGAGAAAAATACATTAATATGCTAATATGAATAGCTTAGAAAATGCAGCACTCCAGCATTTAGCTAACATGAAAGTGATGCTAATAGCAGAAAAGAGGTGCTAACTCAAGAATCAAGAGATACCTTAATTCTCAACAGCACATGGATCTAAATTTGGAAATGTAAGATCTTGTAGCTATATGAGATATATCTGCTCAGGCATATTGTTTAATTAATTACTAAGCATTATTTGATAAATCAATTGATCAAACATTGCTCCGAATGACATCTGACTGACACAGATGCAGCTAAACTATTGTCTATGCTACAAAAATCTGATTTTGATTCCTATCTAATATACATAATTCCATTACCTTTATTCAGTTTCTTTAAGGCGAACTATGCCAGAATTATACTGTGCACAGACAGCACTCTTTGTTTATAGTTTGGCAAAATGGGCAGTAATTCTTAAATACAGACAATCCTTGATCTCAAACTTGTTCATTTAACCACAGTTCAAATTTACAACAGCTTTGGAAAAAGTGCTTTATGTATTATATTTGCACTTATGAGCATTGTACCACCTCCATGGTCACATGATCACAATTCTGGTGCTTGGCAACCAGCTCACATTTACAACTGATTGCAGCATCTTGTGCTCATGTGATTGTGATTGACGAGCTTTTAAAAAACCATTCATTGAGGAAGCTAGATTTGATTTACAACCACTCTAAAAATGGACATAAAATTAGGTGTGGTCGAGTGTGAATTTGACTTTCACAGATTTATGACTAAAATTCTAGTCCCATTTGTGCTTGTAAGTCAAGGACTAACTGTATAATAAAAATGAAGTAGAGGAACTTGAATGCTTCCTGGCTTATGTTGATATTTGCAATGAACAGTGAGCAAAACATTTTTGCCAACCATGTCCAATGATTCAAGCTAAGTTGCTGTTACACTTTCTTCACAAATGAGAACAGTGAATATTAGGGATTTATTAAAATAAAGTGATCAGCACTTTTCAGAGAGATATTGGAATTTGGGTTTGTCATACTAATGCCACCATGCCATACGAGACTTTCCCCTTTGTAATAATACTTTTGTGTTTTTAAGCAAATGCAGAGCAGCTAAATGTTCAAACGATTGCCTATCTCACCATGTTCACACTGCAAGCCAGAAAAAAGTGCAGGAGATGAACTTAAGGGGAATCTGTGGCAGTTAGTTGCTGATCTCTAATTCCCAATCAGCATGGTCAATGGTAGGGTATGTTGGAAGTTGCAATTTAGTTTTCTCTGCAGGGCCAGAGCCCTTTGCCATTTGGGGAATTTCAGAAATATGAGGAAATTTTCAAACACAGAACGGACTAAGTTTACACTTTGTGCTAAGTCATGGTTCCTTATGTATCAGCTACAACTACAGAGTTGCACAATGTGTAAAGCCATAATCCATGATGTATAAAGCAAAAATTGCATAATATATTAATCCAGTGACAAAGAAACCTTTTCATAGTATAGCATGATCTGCAATACTAGTCACTGGCTGCCCAAAGACTGTTATTGCTAGAGTCCACGTATCACAATTGAAAAACCTTTCACAAGAGGCTGAAACATATGTATACATCCCTCAGGATTCAATTTCTCCAAATCCAAAGTCCTACCTTGTCCCGGAGGTCTTCAATGGTCTTGTAATATGGGCTGTAATCACGGGTTGCAGTCGGTCCCTGCTTCTGGTACCACTCTCGGATTTTAACCTCTAGCTCAGTATTTGCCTCCTCCAGGGCACGCACTTTGTCCAGGTAGTTTGCCAGGCGGTCATTCAAATTCTGCATAGTTACCTTTTCATTTCCCGAAAGGAGGCCATCACTGGCATTTATGTTTCCTCCAGCCCCACCAGCTCCACCAAAGCAGCCACTCCCAAAGTTGAAACTTCCACCACCATAGCCACCACCATAGCCACCACCTAGGCTTCCTCCAAACCCAGAAGAGGCTAATCTAGCAGAAGAGACAGAGATGCCATAGCCACCAGATCCCCCATGGATGCTTGGAGTTCTAAAAGAGGAAGAACCACCAAACCCTCCACCACCAATGTTAGAAGAGGATTGCCTAAAGCTGTAGGTGTTCATGATGAAGGGATATCTCAGACCAGCTCTTGGCAACCAAGTGACAAGCTTTGTGCTCTGGAGACAATATGAGCAGTTCTCCCCCTCTCCCTGTCTCTTTTATTCTGTGCTGCTGTGGGAGTTGTCCATCCAACCTGCTGATATGTGAGCCCTCTGGAATGGACCAAACCCTTAGCCAGCATACAAATCCTTCTCATTGGTCAGCCAGAAAGAAATGGGCTGTTTCTTTTCGAAATATTTGCTTAGAAATATTTTCCTCCCCTCCCCTTGTCTAACAATGTATCCCCCCCTCCTTCCTTTAAGAACAAAAGTTGTGATTCACAGTAGGTGGCTTTCTGCTCAAAAGCAAGACATTGATAAATGCTAGGTGATCATTTATTTAAGCCTCAGTTAAAACCTTGAGCACACATACCTGCCCTGACACACACTGGTTCTTTTGTGAAAGGGGTGGGGGTGGGAGGGAAACAACTTGGAGCAGAAATCCAGCAGCTGAAGCAGGTAAGATATTGCAGTAAAACAGAGACAAGAATTCATGCCCCCACCCCACCCCTGCAAGATTCATCTTCTTATTAAAGGGCTTTGAACATATACCCAGAATATCTCCCTATTGCTCCCAATTGCTATAAAAACAGATTTCTTTGAAAGAAGAAGGTAAAAAGCTGACTCTAAGTGGATGTATAAATTCTCAAATGTATAAATGTGTAAAACCTTTAATATCTCAAAAGAGTATTTTAGCTGGGGAGGGAAACACTATCATACAAGTGCTTCTTTTCTGCCTGAAAAACAGGAAATTCTTGAGGGTGTTTTCTAACATGGATGAGCACTTTCATGCATAGCCAACCTGTTTGATTTTTCCTGCATTGCACTTTAATGGTGGAATTCAAGCCAAATATTTTCTATCATGTTTGTTCGTACAATATGTTGATGTAGAGAAAAAGTGGGAATCTAGGGTGAAGCTTTTCAGTTTGTCTTTGGCACTTTAAAAATGGGATTCTCCATACACCAAAAGCCCCGAGATGGTCAAGGTGCCTTGATCCTGCAAACCTTCTGGCCTGCTGTGTTTTTAAAGATATATCATCCTATGATTTGAATGCAGTATCTCCCAACACTCAAGTATAAGAGAATGGACCTGATCTCCAATTGCTTTGAATGGCTCTGAATGATGGGGCTTGTAGTCTGACACTTTTGGATGAACCTGTTCAGGGAGTTCTTGTTCAGCCTTGTTTAGCAATTGTTGCAGTTATGATGGTGATAAAAACAAAAAACAAACTTTGGGACAATCCTTGCATTTACAACCTTTGCTTGTCTATAACACAAACGAAAGCTGAAGTAAGATCATAAGCCAAGTTATGGTTTAATTTAGCTACTACGTCACTTAATGGCCAAGTTGCCAATCCCTACTGTGGTCGCTAAACAAGGATTATCTGTATAGGGAAGGTTGTATCTTATAATAAAGGTTTTCCAGCATATGTAACATTAATCTACATTTTCCATGACCTGAAAAAAAGGGGGGGGGGCATTGTTTCCCTTGCTTTGTACAAAAAGCAGTCCTTCGGGAGTAGGGTAGTATATAAATCCAAAAAATAAATAAATAATAATAAAAAAGAGAAAGTGTATAATCTCTACAGGAATACTTTAAAATATCTGGTGGAGTGAATTTGAATTTATTTTCTAGTAAGGTATATATACATGCAAGTGCTATCCTAGAAACTATACCTGTCCTGCTCCCAAAGCCTGTGATGACTCAGCAGCCATTCCTTCCTAGTTCAACCTGCATTTCCCATTAAGCTAATCAAAAGTGATTTATTTGAAGTGGTTTACAGTGAGGCTAATAATAATTCAGAATACCAATCAAGTGATCTTACCTACTGTTTCTCAATCTTGGCAACTTGGGTGGACTTCTATTTCCAGAAATACCCAGTCATCATGCTGGGAGTTCTGGGAGTTAAAATCAACACAACTTAAAGTTTTCAAGTTGAGAAACACTCAACTAACCTAACCAAGGCAGTTTTAGCCACAGATACTCTGCATGTAAAAAGGAAAGTTCTCAAAACTTCCTTGGTAGCCTAGAGTTTAGGGGTGTGCTTTTTCTCAGGAGGTAGGAGTTCCAAAGGGTGAGGAGGCCACTAAGATGACTTGTTGTCAAGCTAAGCTCCCTCCTCCCACATTGTCAAACAGGGGTGTCAAACTCAAGACCCGGAGGAGGGGGCATATAAGCTTCAAGGACTGTCTATTTTTTTAATTGCTGTTTAGAGGCAGAACAAAAGGCTTCTGCACCAGCCTTTTGGAGTCCTGTTTGAGATGTTTCTTATGGAGGCTACTGAAGACTTATGGCATATTTGCAATATATGGTTTATATAAACGTGTGTACAGAATACACATGACTGGATGTTTGTAGTTTTAATACTCCAAAAGATACATTTCCGTTTATTTCCTATCTGGAATGCTCTTCTCTTCTCTTCTCTTCTCTTCTCTTCTCTTCTCTTCTCTTCTCTTCTCTTCTCTTCTCTTCTCTTCTCTCCTCTCCTCTCCTCTCCTCTCCTCTCCTCTCCCTCTCCTCTCCTCTCCTCTTCTCTCCCTCTCCAATTTCCCTCCCACTTGCACTTCCTCTCTTTCTTTCTTTCTTCCTTCTTTTTTCCTTCCTCTCTCTTTTTAGTATATTTTTATTAAAAGATTTGACATAATTAAAAGATAAATAAAAGATATAGAGAAAATAGAAAAAGGCAAAACATGAAATACTACAAATGGTACAGATAAGAAAGAAAAAAGAAAAAGAAAAACAAAATTGAAAAGCAGCTTCTAATCTTATTTACAGCAATTACAAACTAACTTCTACCATTTTTCCCTCTTCAAAATTACATTGTATAGATTCCTTCTTCCCATATTTAACCCTTTTTAAACTACTAATCCAGAAATTAGTAGTTCATTTTAAAACAAGGATGGGCCATTCTTGTAGTCCATGAAAACTTTGAAATTTCCATCAGTTCCATGCTGACCTCAGCATTATCTCGTTCTTAATTTGACCTGAGCCATATTTCCTCATAAATCTCTTGCTTTATCATGGAATGAATCAACACCTTACCTTAGGGGAAGGTGTAGCACAAAGCTTAATAGATTGACCAGGATAGACCTGTCCAGCAGGTTACACCAACTTTATTTTACTAGTAATCTATTTCTTTATCAAATAACAAAATTGTTTTGTTAGAAAGGTCTTCCAAAAGATCAGCTAGATAAAGCCAATATTTCACTACCCTAAAGTAAGAAAGCAACTGGGAATTATATTCCTTCAGATTTGTAGAGCACCAGTTTATAGCACAGGGGTCTAAGGAAAGGATAGAATAAATGGGCCCTGTTCTCATAACTTAACTTCACTTTCTAAGTGAAACTGTACTGGGCAAGACTGAAGACTTATTCAGTGTCCTATTTCCCACAAGGTCAACTTGATCACGTCCTTCATCCATGAAGTAATGTTGACAGATTCTATGTACCAGGAAGCATAATTGGGCATGGAATGTTGCAATTACATTTAAGAAGAAAAAGGGCATTGAAAGAATATGTGAAGGACAGTGAAGAAGATGAACTGAAGCAGTGGTGGGTTTCAAATTTTTTTACTATCGGTTTTGTGGGTGTGGCTTGGTGGGCATGGCATGACTTGGTGGATGTGGCTTGGTGGGCATAGCAGGAGAAGGATACTGTAAAATCTCCATTCTCACCCCACTCCAGGGAAGGTTACTGCAAAATCCCTATTTTCTCCCAATCAGCTGGGATTCGGGAGGCAGAGAATAGATGGGGGCAGGGCCAGTCAGAGGTGGTATTTACTGGTTCTCCGAACTACTCACAATTTCTGCTACCTATTTTCCAGAACTGATCAGAACCTGCTGAAACCCACCTCTGAACTGAAGTGAATACACTCTGAAGGTTTATGGAATTCCACAGAGACCAGACTAAGAAAGACCAAAGGAAGAATAATGAAGAGGCATGGCAAAAAGAAGCATTGTATCCCTAATACACCAAATAATTAGCAGGCAAAGCAGATAATAGCAAGACCTGGCAATAATTTAAAAGTAGAAAACTTGAAGAAAGATGCAGAATTCTGGCTGCACAAGACCAAGCCATAAGAACAAATGCATACAAAGCCAGAACTGAGAAGACAACAATGGACGGCAAATGTTGCTTCTGCAAAGAAGCTGAAGAAAAACAGTTAACTGCTGTGAGAAGAATGCACAGACAGAGTACAAACAACAGCATGGCCAAGTAGCAACAACGTTGTATTGGAAGATCTGGCAAGAAATACCATTTGCCTGCAAGCAAGAACTGATGGGATAACAAAATAGGCAATGTAGAAAATAGAAAATGAAGAAGCTGAAGTGCTCTGTGACTTTAGAATTAAAATAGACAAGCTGCTTTCACATAACACCCCACAGTTACCTCTTCAAAACATAATTGCTTTTTCCAGTGAATTCTTCCGCATGACATGGCCAAAATAAGTAAAACACAGTTTTGTGTGCAAAATCATGACTGGTTATCAGCTCTTCTTCAATTCATTCATTTATGTTTTGGGGTTTTGAACTATTATGCTAGTGGAAACACAAAATTGGTCTGATTATTTGGAGGCAAGCAATTTTAACATGCCTTTCACATATTGTCTCATATGGGATGAGACAATACTGGCATTTATTTCAGAGACATGTAAAATGTGATACAATAACAGAAAATGTGCATTGTTCAGAACCCTCTGTTCTAGGAACTTACTTCTGAGTAGGCAAGCATATAAATGCATTGGGAGTGATATCATATCAGAAGAATATGAAGATTTGAGAAAAATAAATTCATCTTAACTTTAAAAAATCGTGGGGTGCTTCAGGGATCAACACTCTCCCTTCTCCTGCTTAACATATACACAAAACCACTGGGTGAAGTCATCTGTGACCTAAAATTCAGTATCATGATGTACATTGACAATATGCAGCTTGATATCTCAAATCGGTCTGCACAGGTAAACAGTTGATCTACTGACCCGGTTCTAGAGGCTGTTTGGGTCGGGATGGGGTGGAGCAAACTTTCATTCAAGATTGACTGGCTCTCCTGATTAGTCTCTCAGGGCAAGGGATAGTTCCATCAATAGTCCTAGGTTGGACTGCACTTCTCCATTCATCACTTGTGCACAACTAAGTGATTCTGCTGGATTCAAAGAGCAGGTGGCAGTAATGGCCAGAAGGGCCTCTGCACAGGTTCATTCTGTGAGCCATATGCACTCCTTCCTGGGTATCCTTGAAGCTATAACTGGTACAAAATGCAGTAGCAACCGATGCTGTTTAGTAATGGGCACATATTGATCTATGTGTTATTACTGCTATGCAGGTTGCATTGGTTGCCATTTTTCTTCTAGGTGAAATTTAAGGTACTATTTGATACTTATAAAGCTTTATATGGCTTAGGGCAGGGGCCCTCAAACTATGGCCTGAGGGCCAGATACAGCCCACTGAAGCCATTAATCTGGCCCGTGTGGGACCACGAGGCTGCCCCACCACATTGTCCTGCCTACCCACTGGCCCCCGGCTTCTGGAGGCAAGGGAGGCCAAAAACAGGCTGTGTGGAGGCCCGGTCGCGCTCCCTGTTTTGGCTGGCAGAGTGCTTCTGTAGGTGAGGGAGGTCAAAAATGGGCTACATGGAGGCCTCCTGGGGCCTCCCCACGGCTGGCAGAATGCTGCAGGATTGGATTGGAGGAGGAGGGGGCCCCCTCGCCCACCAGCTGGCTAGACTAGTCCTCAAGTTTCAAGCAATAAGAGATGTGTTACTTTTGGGGAGAGCACGGGATTGCCCTGCCTCCCCATCTGCCAGCTGGTCTTCAGAGAGCAGCTCATCAGCCTCTGGATGTCAGATTCCCATCACCCAGCACCAGTTCAGGGGTTCCTTCCCCCTCCAGGGGACAGAGAGACAGACAGACAGACAGACAGAGACAGACAGACAGACAGAGAGAAAAGAGAGAGAGAGAGAGAGAGAAAGAGAGACAGAGAGAGGGAGGGGGAAGAGAGAGAGAGAAGAGACACAGAAAGACAGAAAGACAGAAAGAGAGAGAGAGAGGAAGAGAGAGATGAAGATAGAGAGAAAGGGGAAAAGAAAGACAGACAGAGAGTGAGGGAGGGAAAGAAAATGACAAGAGACACAGAGAGAGGCAGAGAGAGTGAGAGTTGTTGATTGTAAGCTCCTTGGGGCTGAGAAGAGAAGAATTGCTGCAAAACTGTGTTTCTGAAGTGGACCATTAGACTCCTAAATAACTTTTAAAAAATTTGAGGACCCCTGGCTTAGGGCCTGGATGACTTCTATTTTCAATTGTTTCTGCCTGCCTGGTACATTCATTCCAGATCCTTTCTATAAACATAGTCATCTTGTGGGGCCAAGGAAGTTTGCCTTCTCTCTCATGTCCCTGCCCCCTCTCCAAGATTTGGATGGGTTCTGAAAAGCTCTGAAGAACTGACTTGGTCTCAGGCCTGGGATTAATGTGTTTATGGACCCCCCCTGGTGTGGTTTATTATTATTAGGATTGCTTTGGACCAGATTTGTCATATGTTTTATACTTTCTAATGTTTTTAATGTTTTTTGGGGGGGGGTTGTACAGAGTCTACTGGAATGAGTGGCTATAACTAACATATATAAATCCATGACTAAATCAATGCAAAACAGTTGATTTAGAAGACAAGAATTGTGGCAGATTAGAAAGTGAAGAAATTATTACAGCATAGCACCTATGATCTCATTTAAAACAAAATGCACATTCTTGCCAAAAGTATAAATAACTTATGCCAAAGTACAGTAATAGAATGCTGAAATAGATGTGATATAGTGTGTTCGAGGATGAGCAGAACTTCAAGCCTGCATATTTATTTTGGCACCTCTCAGACTGACACAAAAGCTGTATAATTAAAATTACACAAATTTGAGTCCAGGAATTTGTTTTGTGTGACAGAATGCAATTTAAAAAGCCACTTTTTCTTGCACCTGACTTTACTTTAGCAGCATGATTTAGGCTTGAAGCTGAATTTTTCTAATAGTTGTTCAAGACATGGAAGTCAGAAAATTTTGCTGACAGTGAAAATTACTGTAAGGTAATCAGTATATCCAGGTCTATTTTTTATTTGTTCCCCTCTCTTCATATCACGAAAACATGTTTCTAGGGAGGGATTTTTGCTACCGGTTAGCAGGCAACTCAGCTGGGATCGTCAGAGCTTGGCTCGTCAGAGCCATTTAAAAGGAAAAAAAGGCTCTGATGATCGTGCGGCTCAGCTGGGCATGGGGGGCGGGGGCAGGGATTTTTGCTACCGGTTCTCCGAACTGCCCGCCGCCATCGCTACCTACTCACCCGAACTGGTCCGAACGGGGAGCATTTCACCCTTGCCTGCAGCCCAATACTTTTCTGATAGAGGAGAAGATTCAAAAGTTGAACTAGTTGAGTTGAATTGACTCAGGGCTGAACTGTGGGGTCTTTGGTGCTCTCTGAACTTGGTTGTTTTCTTTCATTATCAAATTGAATAATATCATCAGTGCATTGATGGGAGTGAAACATCTGCAAGAAAACAACAAGCTCAGAGAACACTAAGGACCCCAGTATTTTTTGTAGGTATCACTTATTTGGTAAGAGCTAATTGTGCTCTTTCTTCTCCTATTTATAATTATCTTCACTTTCTTTTAGCCAACAGTATAATATTCTTCTTTTCCAAAAAAAAACAAACCCTGTGATACTTTCTCCTACCACATTTTCTCTCTCTCCCATTTAAGTTTTTGTTTGTCTTATTTCCTTTAAATCTCTCTAATATTTCTAAACGTACTCTATTTTGATGACAGATGAGCAACTGGGATGTCTTCTTGAAAACTTTGATAAATACAAGACTTCCCTGAGCCTCTCCTATTATGGCCACCAATATGAATTCTTACATAATTCTGATGCAAACAAAATCATATTATTTTCCTTGCCTAATTAGCATTTTTAGACATTTGTAAGCATAAATATGGAAGTTAGACAAGTACGTGAAATAGTTACAGTTGCCATGTAACACACTTAAAGTTTCTATTATCAATATCGGAAATTTTGGAATAGAGGATATACTTCTACTATAGTTTTATTTGAATGCTTTAAGGAGGGTCTTGTTTCATGAGATAATTTTTCTAGATTTCCTTCAAATTGTAAAATACAACCTGATTCAGATTTCATTCCCTTCAATATAATTTTTGGATCATAGAATGAATGATCTGATTTCTAAGATGGACTTCATATATTGAAAGCATTTTGAAAATCTTCCGAATTCAGAACAATTGTGCTCATACCTGGACTGAGAGGAGCAACTCTTAAAGCCACCTGGAAGTTAAAACTAATTCAGAATGTGGTGGCATTTCTGTGTAACCCTTGCTTTGCCCATGCCGTATTGCTGTCATTATGCAAGCTGCACTGGCTCCCAGCTTTCTTCTGGGTGCAATTCAAGGTGTTTGTTTTCACATTTAAAGCCCTACAGGGCATCAGCAATAGATTATCCTGATCCTGAGGTTATCTATCCTTCCTACTGCAAGTCTCTTTCCTTAAATGTTGCCACCTTGTAGACACATAGAAATGTGCCTTTTCCATTGCAGTCTTGCCTTGCGGAATATCCTGCCCTGGAAGTCAGGAAAGGCCTTGCCCTTTCAATCTCCCTAGCTCTTCCCCAGGACCTGGGAAAGGATGAATTTAGAGCAGGATGAGAATGAAAGGAGTTATATCATGAATCTCTGGCTGCAGCACCAAGTTTTTCTATTTTTCTTGTTTTGGTTTTCTTGCTTTTTTAAAAAAGCTATACATATTGGGTTATAAGCAACCCAGAATTTGGTTTTAAGATGGGCGATATACAAAAGTTATAAATAAATAACCGCTACCTCAAAAGCCTTCTCTGTAACTATCTCATGCCTTAGAAACAAATTTCCACTTGAGATCCTTCCCTTTTAGATTTCTGGAAGGTGATAAAGATCTTCCTCCAAGCAGTGAACTAAGATGAGGAGGAGCCAATGGATATAAAACTGATAGGTGCTATGGGGAGTGTGCTGTTCCATGCATGTATCACATTTTGTTATTGTTTTACTGATTTTGTTCTAAGTTTCTTAAGGTTATTGTACATAAGATAGATAGCCATATGCATTTTGTGAACGAACAAACGAACGAATGAATAAGTGAATGAATGAATGTCTTGGTAAATGGTAGATTCCTTTCATTGGCATTTTAAACAAAGTCTAGATAGCTTGTTTAAGCTTGCAGGAAGATTGTAATATCAGGTTTCCTACATTGGCGGAGAGTTCATCAAATGACTTTTGAGCTGGCTCTATACCTGTGGTCCTACTTCTGTGCAGATCAATAAAAGCACAATAATCATGCACAGAAGGGTCTTCTGGTTACTGGGCTTCCACAACAAGACATGAAGGAAAGCAAGACAACAGCTTTGAGCCATGCCTTCAAAGTGAAGAAGACTGCATTGCTTTACAAGTGAACTCTGCTT